TTTTCTTTTTTCTAGAGAAAGAGCAAACACAAGCCAGGGAGAGAAGCAGAGGGAGACAGAGAATCTTAAGCAGGCTCCACGCTCAGCATGGAGCCCATAACCCTGGGATCATGACCTGAGCTGATATCAGCGGGTTGAACCACCCAAGGGCCCCTCAATACAAAGGTTTATTCTAAAGGACAACACTTATCAGCAAATAGGGGCACATTTTACTCACACAAAAGGGAATGTGGCCACCCAAGGGGGCAATGAATGGAGAGCCTCTCCCCTCAGAGTCAGCTATTTGGGATTTCTAAACTGGAACCACGACTCCTACACCTCAGAAACTGGAGTTACAAGTCTGAGGTGCTAATGCCAGAACCATCCATTACATGACCAACAAGTGGGTAATACCTCCCAGCTTCAATTTCCTTATAGAAAGGAGACAATAGTACAGGCCTCACAGGGTTTTTGTTGGGATCAAATGAGTAATTTATATGAAGTAATACATTAGTTCGGTGCCTGGTACTCAGAAAACACCCAATAAATGGATTTGTTGTCATTACTTCCAGGGTCCATAAAGCTTAGCCCACCCCCAATGTTTAATAGGACTGCCAACATTTCTTAGCATAGAGCAACACCCAGTTATGTATTTCCATACAGACTGCAGGACAGCTGGGCTCTGATGTGCTTGTCCCTTAGGGCTACAAGGGGCTGTGTCTGGAGAGGGTGGAAATTTCTGCCCTCAGCCATGCAGGAGAGCATGTGGGTCCTCTGGGAGAGAACTCAGGCCATGGCATACAATGTCTCCAGGGCCCTGTTCACAAGCCAGATCTCCTGTATCCTCTCGGCCTCCACTCTGGGGTCTGGGCCTTCCAGGAATCTCAAATCCTTGAGCACTCCTGGCTGTTCTCTTAATCTTCATTTCCTTTTAGTGATCTCTGAGCTATAATGATACAGTCTAGCCTCATTTCAGACTTAATGCAATGTGGAGATCTGATTGCTCACTTTGGGGCCCAGGCATGAAAGGGTGAGCAGCGCACCCCTGAGGCCAGCAAGGTGATGGTGGCAGCAATAGGGACACAACTCCACAAGATTAAGGTAAGTCTCGGGGAAGAAGAGACCCCCATGGAGGGTCTGAGTTGGCGCTGGGTAAAGGGAACAGCGGTTTTGTTAGCGTCTTGATCAGCACGTTAGAGCTTAATGCACAGAAGCTATGAGCCTCTTACCTCCTCAAAGGCATCGCAGCCTGTCACCACAATGCTGGGTCTGAACTGGTCCATTTTCAGTTTCTTCTCCAGCCTGGTATTCAGATCCACCAGGGAGGCTTCCGAGAGGAGCATGATCGGGCTGCAGTCTGGGTAGGCCACCTGAGCCAAGAACATGGCACCATCAGGCCTCACTGGCCCGTGAAATGCCTCAGCCCAACAGAAAGCTAAGCAAAGTCTGGAAGTGGTGTGTACAGGGGGCACAATGCAGAGGGACAGTGGTGTTCAATGAGGGGAGAAGACCCCGCGGTCTTGGAAACAGCCAAAGTCAGTGCCACCGGGCCTCGAAGGGGCTCCCCTCACACACACACAAGGCAACAGCCAGGGCTCAGGGCAGCGTCACCTTCCAGGACTCGCCCTGCTCCTCACTCCAGTGCCCAGCAGTGACCCCCTTCCCACAGCACTGCTGTAAGACAGGCTGCCAATCCACCACACTGTCCCCATAATTTCTTCAGGCGGCACCCATTCACTCCACGTGCATTTATTAAGCACCTGCTCTGTACCGAGCACTGTTCTAGGTGGCGAAACAGCGGTGAACAAAGCATTCAAAAAGCTTGTAGTTCAGGAAGGGGAGGGCTGCCTAAGCGGCTAGCATTTTAAACCTTCTCTCACTGCAAAATCAAAGGCTGTGGTCTCTGGGCTACGGCTGGCCCAGAGGTGGCCTCCTTCAGAAGATACCCTTTCAGTGCCCAAAATAACTATACCACACTGATGGCCAAGGGAGCCCTGGGAGAAAGCCCGCTTCTGTAATTTTAGGAAACCTGGTTCAGTCCCAAACGAACCTCTCACTTCACCTTCCCAACCTGTTTTCTCCTGAGCCCCCCACCTCCCTGGGGGTCACCCCTAGCTTCTCCCTCCACGGTACCTGCCGCAATCTATCCTCCACGCTCCACCTGGAGGCCCTTCCCTCTCTGTCCCCAACACCTGCCCAGAACGCACCCTCCATCCTCCTCCCCTGGGCCATGACTACACTCTCCTAACTGGGATCCCAAGAAGGAAGCCCGACACAGAGGGGTGACTGGCAGAAAAGCCAAGGGCAGCTCTCTGTAAGCTCACCTGGTAATTCGGTACAAGGGTAGAGAAAATTTTCTTCGATGACCTTCCCTTCATGTGATCCTCAAACTGAACCAACCTGAAAGCTTCTGTTTTCAAGAAGCTGGTGAACCACTTAGCTGCCTGGTCGCCACAGTCCCTGCCCTTGATGTCCATCCCAAACAGCCTGGAAGGGTCACAAGAGAACACCAGAGTTATTCTCCTGCCTCAACACCCTGAGAGATTAACGCTAAAGACAGAACAGCTTGGGGGCACCTGGGTGGCTCAGTCGGTTGAGCGTCCGACTTCGGCTCAGGTCACGATCTCGCGGTTCGTGAGTTCGAGCCCCGCGTCGGGCTCTGTGCTGACGGCTCAGAGCCTGGAGCCTGCTTTGGATTCTGTGTCTCCCTCTCTCTCTCTCTGCCCTTCCCCCGCTCATGCTCGGTCTCAATCTCTCTCAAAAATACATAAACATTCAAAAAAAATTTGTAAAGACAGAGCAGCTGGACTGCACGTCTTCAGGCCAAGGGCCAAAGCTGAACAGAAGCAGGAGGGGAATCTGCAGAATGTGCTCCAGGGAAGAGCTTCTCAAAACCTAATATGCCTGCACATCACTGGGATCGTGTGAAATGCTGATCCAGAAGGTCTGACTGGAGCCCGAGCCTGTGCATGCCTGACAGGCTTCGGGGCGGCTAAGCTGCTGGTCCACGGACCACACTTTGAGTAGCAAGGATGCAGGATGCTCTCAGAAGGGACTCTGGTGTGGCAGATGCAGCCTGAGCTTGGAGTCTGGCAGCACCTGAAACTCCACCGTGCTCTACTCTGTGATTTCACGCCAAGCACTCAACTCCCCTGACGCTGTGTTTCCAGTTGTAAACTGGAGATAATAATACAGTACTTACCCACAAGGCAGGCACAGATTCCATTAGATAACACAGTGCTTTTTCTGCTTGAGCACTACTAAAAAAAAATGTTTAAAAGCTACGCACCCCTCACAGAATTGCAAGTGGACATGTAAACTATTTTTATGGTAAGTTTAATTTGTTGTGGAAGATATAAGTTCCGTTGAGTTATAAATATTGACATTTAAAATAAAATTATTGCAGGGCCGCCTGAGTGGCTCAAACCGTTAAGCATCTGACTCTGGCTCAGGTCATGGTCTCGAGGTTCTTGGGTTCGAGTCCCGCATCAAGCTGTGCGCTGCTTGAGATTCTCTCTCTCTCTCCCCGCCCCTCTCCTACTTGTGCTGTTTCTCAAAATAAATACTTAAAAAAATAAAAATAAAATTATTATAAAGTGTATTATGTCTACTAATATACAAATATATAAAATTATGCCCTGAAAGCATGCAATGGAATCCAAATGCCATGGTGGTTTGACACCCACTCCCATCCATTTTAAAAACATATGGTTAAGGTCTTCTTTAATAGTCCACATTTTTTTTTTAGAGACAAGAGTGCCGAATCTTAACCACTAGACCGCCAGAGACAGTTTTAGAGAGAAAAAGAGTATACTCATGATTAGACAAAAAGTGGCGGGGCAGGGATTAGGGAGGGAGAGAGAGGGAGAGAATTTTAAGCAGGCTCCACACTCAGCACAGAGCCCAACATGGGGCTCGAACTCATGAACTGTGAGATCACGACCTGAGCCAAAATAAAGAGTCAGATGCTTAACTGACTGAGCCACCCAAGCACCCTACTGTTTGTTTTCAAATAGGCTTCAAGCCCAGCACAGAGCCCAACACGGGACCCAAACTCACGACCTGGAGATCAAGACCTGAGCTGAGATCAAGAGTCGGATGCTTGGAGTGCCTGGGTGGCTCAGCTGGTTGGGCATTTGACTTCGGCTCAGTCATGATCTCATGGTTTGTGGGTTTGAGCCCCATATTGGGCTCTGTGCTGACAGCGAAGAGTCTGGAACCTACCTCAGATTCTGTGTCTCCCTCTCTCTCTGCAATCCCCCACCCAACTCGCACTCTGTCTCTAACAAAAGTAAATAAACATTAAAAAAATAATTTTTTTTCAAACAAGCCCTGTGCTCTCCGATGTCCCCAGTCCCACTCTGACCCTTAGACTCACTTTCTTTTCAAATACGCCTCTCCAGCCCCCTGTCAAATCTCCATGCTGCTCTCAAGTTTCCTGGGCTCTTTTTTCTCTCTCTCTGTCTCTCTCTCTCTCTAACCCCTCTTCAGGGAGCCATTGCTTGACCTCTGATTAATTCTTAATTCAGTCCCAAAGCCTTCTCAAGGTCCCCTCCTGGCCTTCAGCCTTGCCCCTAAAAGTCTCCTCAAACAACAAATTACTTGGAACAGACTCGACCCCACTGTTCATCAGTTCCCAGAGCACCTGCTCCTGGATCCAGCACATTCCTCAACCCCTGACAGCAACACCCGTGGTTGAGCACACGCTTCTGCCCCCCAGCTTCTGTCCCCCAGGTGAGCCTACTGTGGGCACTTTGAAAAGTAGAAAGCAGCCGGTGGGTAAGAGAATACTAACAGCGAAACCTCTTTCTCATTCCCAAACGCTGCCCTTCCACTGGTCCCTTCTGCCCCATCCCTGCAGCAGGAGGTACCTACCCCTCAGCCATTCGAGGGGTAACCCCTCGGCTTCTCCTATTCTTCCAGAATGTTATGCAAAATCCACGCTCTTCCACATTTGACACAAAATGTTCCATCATCCTTTTTAATTTTTTTAATGTTTATTCATTTTTGAGAGAGAGACAGAGCACACACAGGAGGGGGGCAGAGAGAGAGGGAGACACAGAATCCGAAGCGGGCTCCAGGCTCCGAGCTGTCAGCACAGAGCCCGACGCAGGGCTGGAACCCACGGACCGCGAGATCATGACCTGAGCTGAAGCTGGACGCTTCACTGACTGAGCCACCCAGGCGCCCCGAAGGGTAGTTTTAAGCTCAGACACTTTGCTTGAAAAAGTATACAATCAGGGCACAGGGAGCACTCTGTGGCCGTCCTCTGAGCCTTGGGAACCTATGGACAACCTCAATTTCCACATGCTGAAAATGACAGTGCCCCAGCCTCTAGGACTTCCGGGCAGCACCGGACAAGGCTCCCATGAGCCGTGGCATTTGACAGCCCTGCAGGGGTCCTACAGACTGGAAGGAAGCCCAGGGCTGGAGACTGTCTAGGAGGCCAGAGGTGGGAATCTCCCACATCTGACTGGTGCAACAGGTGCCTCAGTCTCAATCCCAGACCTGAGAGGCTGCAACATCACCTCGAGAAGCTCCTGCACCCCTCTCACCCAACCCTGAGATTCAGCTGGTATAGTCTCCACTCACCGCCTCGTCTGCCTGGCTGGGGGCGGGCTGCCACTGCTGAAGCGAAGCCCCTCCGACTTGAATAAACAGAGACAAACTCTAAAGACTGGCCCTGTGTC